TCAAGCAGACAGCTGATTATCAGAAGTGTGAGACGCTGGAGAATTTAGTCCGGTGTCCTGTTATATTTTAGATAGCAAGGAGTTTATTAAACTTCACCAAAACAATCTGCAAATTTCATTAAAATTTAATAAATTTTTTTAATTAATAATAATTAATTTAATTAATAATTTTTTTTTTTAATAATCATCTTGTCTTTATTTTTACTTAGCACTTAACTTAAACACATAAAGCTGTAAGCTAATGATAGTTATATAAGAGCAGATGCTGCTGGTGCAATAAGCTGTATGTTTTACGTCCAATGGATGATGATCTGATTAGTCAAATAATCGGTGACTAGTCAACTATCAAAATAATCGTTTGTGGCAGCCCTAGTGTGAAGATGACTCCTCATTGCAAAACAAGCTTAAATCATCACCCCTGGGCTCCACCACCGTGCTTGACAGTTAATATGGGGTGTGCTGATATGCTGTGTATGGTCTTGTTTTGTCCAAAGGATATTCTTGTAATTTATTCGGACCACAAACCTAAATTGTGTTGCTATGCTCTACCTCCTGGCAATTCTTCCAAACAAAACATACTTCTTCAATCTTTAATTGTACTGTGATGAACTTTGTCACTAAACATGCTGAGACTCTCTGAGCATTGCATTGTCTGACTTTGGGGTGCTTTTCCTGGACTTTTCCATGAGACACTTGAATGCTCCAGGTCACACTTGCTGATGATCAATTAATCTGTTTGATTAGGAACATGTAGTCATCTATATGACTACGTGGAGTCCAGCCAAAATGTTCATTTTTACATGACTGTACACATGAAACCTTTCATTAAGAATCTCCACTTTTGATGTTTTGAAATACGTCTTCCATTCATCTTCATGGTTTCACTCCGTTTTGAGTGTTTTAGAATACGAGATAAAGTTTACTCGACTTTGCTATAAACTTTGGATTTCTCAGGTTCAGGTTGAACTTTCTTGATCTTCTTTTTTTTCTGTTTCAGGCAAAATTACAAAAACTACTCGATGGAATCACGGACACACTTTCGTATACAGGCTGCTTTGCACAAGGCCAAAGGCAGCGGGGAGAATGGTATCCATGTGCCCTCCAGCCCATAACAAACAGAGGACGGCACACTAAGGAAAGACAGCATTTGTCTCCTACAGTCTCATCATGCCAACACACAGACCAGGACAGACCTGATTATTAGGGAATAATTTGTTAGTTTTCATCGAGAGGCTAGGGGAAGAGGCTTTTCCTCATGTGTGCCACCCTTACAGGCAACCGCAGCTCTGACTGGCTTCGGTGGATTCGCCCTCTTCCAGAGATATATCCTCATGAACTTTACTTCCTTCTGATTTAAAATGGAGACTAATTATGAAATGTGCCTATATTTATGAAACATTGCTTCTAGCGGGGTCGTCTGTCTAGCACTGTGGCCACCTGTAAGTGGTGCACTGGAGTACAAAACACAATCAGATTTATTTGGTGTATATTCTAAGTTGCCTCTGCTAATACCCCGAGGGTAGAACATTCCCGGTGCAGGGTACTGAGTCTGCGATGTGATGGAGCCAGAGTACCAAACAACCTTTACAGAAATGACTGACACTAGCTTCTCCAAGTCATTTGATCTGGCTGCTGCAGAGTTTCCCATTTTTTGTGTAGAATATAAATGAGCGATTATTTAAAAATAAAAATGACACACAGTGATGTTTTGTTAAGTCCCTGAGAACTAGTAGATTCCTTGTAATTGGTTGCTGATCAGCAATATAATCAAAAATGATATGTTGTTTAAATTTTTACACTAAACTTTGGTTTATTCTGTTTGTCAGAGAGAGTGAGTGTTTTATTGCGCATTTTCTTTTTTCCCCCTTTTCCTGAAACACATCAGTGGTAGAGACACATGTATTTTGTGAGATGGCTCTCTCCGAGTTTCCCTTTGAAGAGATGATCAAATCTAAAATCTTGTTTTATTTATAGTTGCATTTTATGGCTTTTTGCACAGAGCTTTGGAAGTCAGCCAGATATGCAACCTCTCCAGAGTAAAAGAAAAAAAATGCCTCTAAGACTTCCTCTAAGACATTTATATACTGTAAATGGCACCTTTTACACAAATTGTCCCGTTTTAAGAGGACAGATGAATGTGTCTTTTAGAAAGGCAGACTCCCTTCTTTTCTCCTCCTGGTGTGTGGGACGGCCTCCAGCAGTACTTGAGCTCGAACAAATGGGCCTTTCACGGCGAGCGGCAAAGTGCTGCGTGCTTGTCCGCCTGCTGCATCTTTAGTAGGTGAAGGAGCTCAGAAGCATCGCAACCACCACAGTCTTCCTGCTTCAGGATCATCTTCTGCTGCTCTTGTATATTACATGCTTGTCCAGAAACATCTATTGAAGCACTTGGATGTTGTAATCACTTCCTGTATATAGTAATCTGGTTATGGATAAATAGGGGTCACCTCTAACATGGTTGGTGCTTAGGTTATTGGAAAGGTTGCGTACTTACAATAGAGGGTTTAAAAAAGAAATAAACCTGAACTCACATGTTGTCTCAAGTGTTGGAATTAGAGCAGTAGAGCACTGTTGTTTTATTCATGATTAGAGTTCGGTTTAGGATTTAAGATGGCTTGGAGTTCTTTTTTTCTAATGGTGAAGGAAATGCATTCTTATTGTTCTAACAGCAGCTGCTCTCCAGAATATTCCCAGAACCACTCATGTTTTACTTTCAAATAACATTATTTTCATTTTTTGCTCTTTGGGTTTACAACTGCAGTCAAATTCTAACTAATGTAGTGGCATTATCTGCATATTTTACTGGGCATGGCTACCAAAATTACGGAATGACATTCCTGTACATACTGAATGTTTCCGTTGTAATTTAAAATGATGAAAAGCAACTACAAATCCAATTTTGTGTTGTCTGGTTTTTCCTTTTAGCCATTTAAGCATAACAAAACAGAGTTTACAGAGTGAAGTGGTGCTAGTTACAGAACAAAGTACTTGATTGTACATCTGTTGTCCTTATATAATCTAATCTGTTAGATAAAGTCATCTTATTTTGTTGAAGTGTGAGACTCTGGCAGTCAGGGATACGAAAACAAGGACTATTATAACACGTCATAATTTATCAAAAACACACAAAGAGAATTAAAAAACATAAAATACAGTTTTAAATATTTCAATATCCAGCCGCAAGAAAAACTAAAAAGTTGGTGATCAAGTACTACTTTGTGGTTAGCAAGAGGAATAACACAAATACACTTACAAAGCTATCACAAAGGCTGTGTTTATGTTTTTAGCGAAGGGCAATTTGATCACGAATCTGATTGGCTGCTTAAAAGAGCCTACTCAAAGTAGGTAACAGCTCATTGGTTCTTTTTCGGAGGGGCGGTGCTTTGTGTTGCTACATCACCAGCTTTCGTTGTTCGGCTGCTGTCTGCAAACTGGAAAGTCCCCTTCAGACACAGAGGTCCGCGTCAGGAAAACTGCTGTTAGCGTTGTGATTTGCGTTGAGGGGTATTGAATTTTCCTTCCCTTCGATGCGTCAATAAACATACAATTCTAGCTTGCTGTTTCAGCTCTGAATTTATTTATTTATTTTTAGCTAAGCGATTAGATGTTCCCGTTCGAATGCTAGCTGGTGTTAGCAGGCTAGCTCTTTGTGTGGCTAGCAGCTAGCCGAGCGATGTTTTGTTGTTGTTAAACTGGACAGCCCTCCTGTCGTCTGGGAAGGAGAATCGTCAGCTGTGTATGGAAAAAACGCCCCATCGACGCCTTTTTCTCCTCTCCCATTGTCTGTGAAAGTGACCCTTGAAATTAGTAAAGCGAAGACGACAGAGGGGAGAGTTTGATTGAAGAGGGAGGAGATGGGAAACTGTCTGAAATCTCCCACATCGGATGACATTTCTTTGCTACATGAATCTCAGTCGGACCGGGCCAGCTACGGAGATGGTGCTGATCCCGATCAGGAGCCACCGCCCCCCTATCAGGTAACTTTCACCAACAGTTTCAGGGAAAATGAGCTCGTAGATATGTTTTGCCATGAGCAAAATTCATGAAATACCTGAAGCGTAGACAATGTCGGATAATGTGTGACGGGTTCGGCCCAAAAACGTCTGCCTTTATGCAGCTGAAGGCAAGATCAGCTGTTTACAGATCCAACATCACCCTTGGGCGGCAGAACGACTCAGTGACCCTGTCCCTTCATAGCATTGACACTAATCCGCTTTGTTCAGTCCGATGGTCCTGCCTCTGTCCGTCAATTCCCTGAAGTCATATCTTGATTCAGGCTTCACTGATACAATAGCAGCACGGCTTGCTCATTCAGAAACTCTGAACCAAATCATTTAGGCTCATGTAAGTCAGCACATAAATCTGTTATGGCCTGTGGTACACATTAACAGTGAACTTGAAACAGAGCCCAGTTGTCCATGTGTAGGAGAATTATGACTTGGTGACTTTCATAACTTTATTGCTTCTTTTGACTAATCTCCTTCAGGGCAGCAACTTTGTATGACGACCTTATTTCCTGAATTAGATCATCCACAAACAGACCAGGCCATGCTGTAACTGTAAATATGATGCACAGTGTTACTTATCTTTCCTTTGTATTTTCTCTATAACACAGACCAGCAAGTTCAATGTTAAGAGACAGCTGGTATGTGTTATGTAAGCCTTGGCAGACAGTTTGCTGTTACTAGGTTAAGCCGTGCCTTATCTGTAGATTTAAGATAAGGATTTTTCTAAAGCACGGGAAACTAAAGGTGACATCAGGTCTGTACAGAAGGAGAGCTTGTGTTGTAGGACGCTACATAATGTAATGTTATATTCAGGCAGGCATGTTTTATTTTCATCACACTAGGGGTGAAAACCTAAAGGAGAGACTTTGCCAAGTTGTTGTAACATTTAAAAAGAAAAATTAGCATCAAGGGCTTTCTAGCTGGATCTTGAAAAGTAATGTTTTTGAAATTATGTGAATAAACAAACACGAACACTGATTATTGGTGCATTATTTGAAAATCTAATTGAGCTTCATCAGGAAATCTTTAGGTAAATTTTGTTTTTTATAGATCTTCATATGAATTGGTAGAACTACAATGAATTTTGTACATTTGGTGTTAAAAACAAAAGAGGGGAATGTACAAAATAACAAATGTGCTAACCATTACTTTTGCCCAAAAGTAATGGTTAGCACATTTGTCTAACAAGCTAAAGATCTCTGGTTTGTTTCTGGGAGAAGACCCTGTTCCCTTTTGGGGTTGCATGAAGAGCATCTGTTTCCCACTATGGCAAGTAGCTTCCTATCAGACAACCAGAATTGGGACATGGAAACTTGGCCCAAACACATTCAACCTCTCATTTATAAGCTTTGTCATTTCTTAGACACTGTGTGCGAGTCGGTCAATATTATATTTGGACAGGTTGAGTATTTTCCCCCTGTTCATGTCCTTGTGTGAGCTCTGTCCAGCATACACCAGTGTGTAATTAGGTCAGCGCAGTCAGCTGTGTTATCATAGATGATGAATGTTGTAATAAACCACACAATCTTTGCTAGGGGCCCTCTGCAAGAGCTCTCACTAAGCTTTCAGTGTTGTTCAGCAAGTCTGCGTGCAGTGTGTTTATACTGGCAGAGTTTCTCAAGAGGGTTAACTAACTAGTTAAAGCCTCCTTATAAAGAACTCTTTCAGAACAGCCAGCTTCTCCTTGGTGACCACAGTAATCGGCACCTTCACCACACATTTTTTGTTCGGCATCAACACGCTTTGGGAATTTGTGGTGGAACGGGTATTAAATTCTCCCAAATGCTCCATTTAAAATTTAATTTGTTGCATTTGTGAAAGCTTTCACATGCTGCTGAGTGCAAATGTGTACTCTGGATACTGCCTGGAGGTCTGTCCTCCATACAGAGGGTGAGATTTGCAAGTCATGGTGCAAAACTTGATGCTGGCAGAGGCAACAGTGAAATCCAAAACAAGGACAATATGAGCTATAGCTGTGCTTCTGCTACAAAATGAATCAGAAAGGGAAGCTTTTGTGTTGTTGTCAAATAAGCATTGACAAGGATTTATTTAATCGATGAAAAGCAATCTGTCACACTGGAACTGTTGTTGATGGCTCTAATGTAATTAAATGTTGAATTGTGTTGCCTTCTGTCATTTTCATATGTGGGCCATACTCGAGACATAACAGCCTAATCAGCACACTGTGGTTAGGATGCCCACTGAAGCGCTTAAATTGAAAAACAGGAAATGATTAATGGATTTGTCTCCAATTTAAGATTCGTTAACACTTCGTTTCTGTCTGTAGCTTAAGTTATATCTAGCCTGAGGTTTAGCCAACCTGGAAACTGTAAATAGTGCCCATGCACATCTGTAACAAATGCAACATTTTATAAGTGCATACCACTCTTCAGATGTTTCCCCATCGATTCTAAACAACCTCTTGAGGTTGTCTGCATGTTAAACTGATTGGAAATCACTGCTGTCTGTATACAGAGCATTCATGATCCAAAGTCCAGGACTGGCTCTGTCGACTGTATGGTGGCAGCCTGCATTTGGGGCTGTTGAATAACTTCATGGCTTATGAAGACAGTGCACAGATCTGACATTCATAACTCCATATGTGGACACTTCACATAGATGCTATAGAGAACCATGAAATGGTTAAGATTCTATTATAATCCTTTTTCAGGGAATTATTATTATTTTTGTTAGTTTTTATTCCGATTCCTCTCTCAAGTTACCTCTGGGGTATAATGTTGTGGCTAATTTTTGCAAAATCCTTGTAAAGAGGAATGGGGGATTCATTTTTATAATTGTTACATTACACATACAGATG